CTTTTCAACTTGCTGTTCCAGTTGATGAATCCTTTTCCTCTGGTGCATTGTATCCTCCACAGTATAGTTGTGGTCACAGAAAACTGAGAGATTATCAGGGGTCTGAAGAGGGGGCATGGGTAATCCGATTGCAGCATCAACCTGGGAAATTGGAGGTGTTGAAGGAGGTGGAGGAAGCTGTTCTTGTGGCTCCAGATCTTCTTTCTTGTCATGTGGCTCAGTACAAAAAAATATGGTGGGTACAGTGTTCTCTTTCAGTAACTTGTTATTGCTCTCCGTCTTAAAGCAGTCTGGAGTAAAGTGCTCTGAACAAATGCTGCTGTACTTGGTGGGCTTAAAGTTTTTTCTTCTGACAGCTGCTTCCCATTGTTTACAAAGACTGGGTCGTGTAAGAGGAAACTTGTGCAAAGAAACAGGTTTATCTTTATCATACCGGTTCTTGCAGCCGTAGGCGGAGCAGGACTGCACCATTCTTGTGGATCTCAAGTCACTTCACTTCTGCTGCCCTAGAAGGCAGGTAAAGGTACTTTCTGTGTCGCTGCGCTCGACTTTGAGACTCTTGTTTCTTCTGTAGGTTTTCGTGAATTGTTACAGGAATGGTAGCCACACTCGAGAGTGACTACTTTGCTCGTTTTGTTGTTTGCATTAGCGGAAGAACTACAACCATCACCCGTCTGCCATCTCTCTAAAAGCTTTATTTATGATTGGAATCATTCAACAAAAAAGCAAAAGCCAATGAGCCTGAAAAAGCAACTAAGCTGCTGTCTAGAATGCGCTCGAGAAGTCATTCTGCCTCTGTACTTCCTGCATGCTTCTCCCATATAAGCCCCAGTCAACCAGAGATCAGGGCCTGATATTTTGAGATCAGTCAATGCTTGATTCCAATCAGTGCTTGTCAATGTAAATAAATCTGCCTTCAAATCTTGGGTGGTGTTTTAGTGTTTCTGGTTGCTGTTGCTATGACATAGAAATGAGTCTTCCCAAAAGACATCTCACTCTAATTTCTGAAAGCTATGAATATATTACATGCAGTAGTACATTGTGTTGTACTGTGTGTTCAACCAGATAAGGAGATTACATGAATGGGCATCATCTAATCACATGAGATTTGTCTTAGTCTATTTTCTACTGCCATAGGAGAATATCACAAAACTGGTAATTTATAAACAATGGAGATTTATTTGGCTTACGGTTCTGGAGGCTGGAAAGTCTAAGAACATGACACAGACATCTGGCGAGTCCTTTTTGTTGCGTTACAATATGGTAGAATGTATGCTAGGCAGACAGATGGACTCTGGCTGAACTCACCTTTGTAACAGATTCCCAGTAAGGATAACTGACTTGCTGCAGCATTAATCCGTTGGTGAGGCAAAACTCTTGGAGGGATATAATAATTTGTTGAAGACATCACCTCTTATGATAACAAATATGTTTCCCCATAAACTTTAGAAGGGATATACAAATTGACCCTCCAGCCCCCTAGAAGTCAGTGCTTCTTGTATATAAAATAGATTTATTCTATCCTAATCATCTCTAAAGATGATTGTTCTGACATCAAATAAAATTTCAAAGTCCAGAGTCTCATCTAACTCAGGTGTGTGTGACTTTAGTCACACTTCATCCTTAGACACAGTCCCTCCAGCTTCAGATCTGTGAAATTAAAGCCAGTTACCTGCTTTGAAAATACAACAGTGGGCATGGATAGACATTCCAATTCCAGAAGGAAGATCTAGTCGAGAAAAAGGGGTAACTAGATCCAAAGAAATCTAAAACCCAACGGGGAAAACAACAATAAATTGAAAAGCTGGGGAGTAATATTTTTTCATTCTGTTGTGTTGCCACCTGAATACTCTGGGGTGTTTGGGTCCCTGAAGCCTCTAACAGCCCTTTTTCTATGGCTTTGCTGGGCTCAGCGTGGCAGCAGTTGTGCACGCAGGATTTGTGCGCTGGTAGTGCTTGAGTTCTGAGATCTTAAGGATGGTCATGCTTCTGTGACTTCACCATGTAGCTTGACTGCTTTGCTGTGGACATATTTCTTATTTCTTTTAGCAGATACTCTATTAATTTTAATTTTTTCCTTCCATCAGGGCATGGGCACAGTGCACCCAAATTCTTTCCAACTGTGTTGAGGATCACTTATCCTTTGAAATCTTGTTTTTTATTTTTATTTCTATGTTGCCCCCCATCACCATGGCTATTATATCTGTATTTCTTCCTAGTTATGACTAATCCAGTAATATCTAAGGTATTCCACACATTTCTACAAAGTTTTTCCTTCAGCCTTTGTCAAAATATGCTTTTACACTTCACGGGAAGTAATCTTTTTTTTTTTTTTTTTTGTTTCTAGCTTGTTCTGAAGTTTTTGAGCTACGCATTGCCCAGTTTCAAAGCCATTGTCACATTTTCACATATTTGTGATAGGAGCAGCCTCACTTTTTGGTGCCAGTTTGTTGTTATTATTTTGCTCTTTTCTTATGCTATAACAGAGTACCACACACTGACTAAGTTTAAACAATAGAAGTTTATTCAGCTCATAGTTCAGGAGACTGGGAAGTCCAAGAATATGTGTTGGACTCTGGAAACAGACTTCATTCTGTCATAATATGAAGTAACTGTTATGGCATTTGTTTTGCAGTCCCTAGGACACATGACATAGAATAAAATTCAGTTTTTTTTCTGGTGAAAGCTCAGCTGTTTAATCACCTCCTCTTATTTTTATGTTAACTTTGTGTTCTTTGTTTCTTCTCATTAAAACCCGGAAGGATTTAAGGAAACTACTTTTTGTGGCGTGATTGACTCATTACCTTTTATCATTGTTTCATACTGAAGTATAAAATTGAATTGCCTTGTATATATTTGCATTTTAATTCATTATTTCTGATTCTGAGAAAAGTTGTTCTTTTTCCTTATTCAAGATATAATGGGCTGCTGAGATAGTTCAATGGATTAAGAGCCTGCTTAGGCAAGCACAGGGACCGAGGTTCAATCTCTGATACCACATGTGGCACTGGCCCCACCGTGGACACGCTGAGTGGGCCACTGAAACCTGGTATGGTGGTGCACACCTGTAATCCCAGTGCTTAGGAAGCTGAAATGAGGAGGATCACTATGAGTCTGAGCTGTGTAGTGAGGCTGTGTACCAAATACAGAAAGAAAAAGAGACATAGTGGATAAGTGTATGAGAATGTCACAGTGTACCTCATAAATATACACAGTATTTGTCAATTAAAAATAAAACTTAAAAAGTTGTGGGGACAGGGGAATGGCTCAGTAGAATAAGTGCTTGCCTGGCAAGCCCAAGGGCCTGAGTTCAATCCCCGGTTCTGCCAAAAAAAGAAAAAGATGTGTGAGTGTCAGTACACAAGTACGGAGATTTTCCTGTGCCAGTATTCTACAGAAAATGATCTTAACTCCATTGACTGCCTCTCTTGTCATATGCAGTAATTTAAAGATGAGAGTTGGAGAGGGTGATGTTTACTTATTGGTCTCTCTGCCTCAGTGTAATCCCTAACCTTTAGCAAAGCTGGCAGAGGCTGGTTGATGAATGTATAGCCCATTACTTTTCTCTTGAGCATGTTCTCATCTTATGCAGTTGTATTGTTCTTTCTTTCTTTCTTTTTTTTTTTTTTTGCGGAACCGGGGATTGAACTCAGGCCCTTGCGCTTGCCAGGGAAGCGCTTATTCCACTGAGCCATCTCCCCGGGCCCTGTATTGCTATTTCTATCTTCATTAGTCCTCAAAACTCTGCTGTGTGTGTAACTATATTATTTTGTATCTTGGTTTCAAGATTTTTGCTTTTTAACAGTGTGCCATTGGAATTCACATGATGTTGTGGTATTTCTCCTTGAAACCTTCTGACCATGGGTTGAATTCCCTGAAGCCAGGAACTAAATTATACCTTTTCTCCTTTAAGTTGTGTGTTTTAGGTATGCCTCAGTTATGGAAACCTGACTTTAAATAATAAATAAGCCAACAAATAAACAAGCACTATGCCAGGGAATTATATCCCTAGCCCTTTTTTTATTTTTTGAGAAAGGCTCTTGCTAAGTTGCCTAGGTTGGCCTTGAACATGTGTTCCTCCTGCCTCAGCTTTCTGAGTTATACTTTATTAGATTGAGCATTAGCAAATTATAATAGTTCTTTACCAATTTCTTTCCTCAGTTTTATCTTACATTTCAATTACTATTTATC